GTGACACTCGCAGTGATTTCTGGCCTCTGCGTCTCACTATATGACGGCATGAACACAAAAACTTAATCTCCAGAGCTGCTGTGAGAGTCACTGCGTGAGAATTTTACCGTTTCATTTAAGAAAACTAGCATCATCATACTGTTTACACACAGAAACTTCATGGCAACCTGTCAAAATAAAAGTACGGTTTAACATGTAACAGAAATATATTACTCTTGTATTACTTTTGTACAGTATAATGTACATCCTTAAATATTCCATTTCTATCAAATTTAAAAGAAAGAAAGAAAAAGTTTGTAGGACCCTATTGTTTTGGACTTATTTTTTCACTGAAATAAAGGTTTTTGTAATTACACAGAGAGTAAAGTACCGAAAAAGGTACTGTTGGGTACCGGCACCGAAATTCAGATACCGATACCGGTACCGTACCAGTTCAAATGTGAACGGTACCCAACCCTACTAATCATTTATGCTAAAAAAAAAAAGGTCATACAGAAAGTCAACGACATGACTGAGTAAATTCATTTTGGGTGTCGACAACTACTATTGCTGTCATTGCAATTACTTCCACCACCGCTGCTGCTCTTCCAGAAATGCTAATTCTGCTTATGCATAAATTGGGTTCCTGATGTTCTCTTCTGGATATCTTCTCCTTGTGGTGGATTGCCATGCTCATCGGCTCCCTCACAGCTGGAGCCATTATAGCAGAGAATGGCTTTCAAGTGGAAATGCAAGCATCATGACCCATTGATGCAGAGCAGGGGTCCTCCTGTGGGCCGACCACGGGCGGCTCTGAATAAAACACAAACCCTACTTCCTTTGGCAGCATAGCATCTGTGGTGGGAGAAAGGGGCTCTATTAAACACTGGGCCTTAACCATTAGCTATAATTACGCTCACAGTTAGCATGACTGTTCGCTAGCTGCTGCCACAAAGTAAATTGCTGAGGCTGGTGGCTCAACAACTGCCAGGCACTCTGCCCAGATCTTTGGATTAGCACGAGGTCCACTGCCTGTTTACTGAGAAAGATTTTTTTTTCTGTAGCAATATTTTCTTACAAGGCAGTGCCACATTAGCGCTTGTTGTGTTTGGTTATTTCTGGCAGTCTGTTTTTGGTTCATTGTATAGATGCAGCTCTGAATTACCGCAGCTGTCAGGTTGTTTGTTGGAGCTCTTCAGAAATCAATAATACTTTGCGGCGCACGTTGTGGTGGGAAGCGTTTCTCGACTTCATCCATATATAACGCGGAGTGTTTATAATTCCTCTAGCTGCTCTGGCACAGTTTCAGTGTCATTAACTTCTCCAGTTGTTTTGGACCATTTGCTCAGCACTTCATCTGGTATTACACTTAGGTTTGCAGATCAAAAACCGGTTGAGTTTCTGGACAAAATACTGGAATAACAAGATTTTCGTGATGTTCTGTTAACGGTTCTTGTAGGTCTGCATTCTTTTGCCATTGTGAAAATCGTATTCTGATGTCTCCTGCAAAATATATACTATATAATACACTACTATTCAGCTTGGATAAAATGTATCAAAAGTGACAGTAAAGACATTTATAATGTTGCAAAAGATTTGTATTCCAAATAAATGCTGTTTTTTTTTTTTTACTTTCTATTCATCTGTGAATCCTGAAAAATAAAATACATCACGGTTTGCACAAAAATATTGTGCAGTTTTCTAAATTAATAATCAGAAATGTTTCTTGAGCAGCAAATCAGCATATTAGAATGATTTCTGAAGATCATGTGACACTGAA